TACTGTGAAGAAAATTAACTCTGTCCCAGCCAAAACCAGCACAATAGTTCTTCCTATTTGGATATCAAATGAAGAGTTGACAATTATTTGTGTAAATCCAGCACAAAGATGGCATCTGCCAGGCGTTGCCAACCCTGGTAGCCTGCCAAAGGTGAGGCTGCCATAGCTCCATGTCCCCAGCTCCAGCGAGGTTGAGCATGTATTCCCAGTGGGCACAGTATGCATGAATATATAAATATATAAATCTATATATATACACACACACACGCCCAGCCTCCTATCCTGCTCACCAGCTAGTCCAGCTTGGTACTCATGAGAGGCCAGTCCATGCTCAGCCAGTGCAGGACGTGGCCAGACAAGCGTACTGACCTGTTGACACAGGACCAGCCTCTTTTATCCCCCTGTCCCTCTGTTTTCCCTTGCTTGTTCCTCCCCAGACCACCTTTGCCCACCTTTGGTCCTTCCCATCAGAAGTCTTGGGCTGTTCCCAAGCACTCTTCCCGGGCAGCTCATAAAGTGTCCCATGCCCCATGGCAGTAACCCCTCAGTCTGCAAGATGCTGCAGGGAACCTCTCCCATTGACGCCCCATGTTGAGTGTCCGCCCCAGCCCATGGAGCCGATGACTCCCCAGGGCAGCCCCAGCGCCCCTGGGGCTCCCTTGTTCGGACCAGACTATTGGGGTTCCTTCACTGGCTGGTGTGACTGTGTGCGGTGATGATCAGCTAACCTGCCAGCAAGCCGAGCAAAGTGCCGAGTGCCCCCGTTTCCACTACAGCTGTTCAACGCTTACCACCGTCAGCTCCAGAGAGCTTCGGGCTGCCGCCGGTGGCTTCAGCTGTAGACCTTGTTGTAACAGGCGCCCATCACGTGTGAAAGCTGTGGAGATCTCCCTCAGCTGCTGAGTTGTACTGACTCATCAGGCAGTTTCCGGATGGTTTTGTCTGTCTATTAATAGACTGGCTTGCATTACTTTCATTTGTGCCTAGGCAGAGCTGAACTCCTTGAACCCTTGTGTCTGTTTATTTAAATTAAGTATGATTTGAGTGTAAACTGATTTGGGCAAATTATCATTTTTTCTCTTTTTTTTATTATATGGCTAATATATGGCTAGGTCTCTTAATGGATCGTAATACAGCCAGTTCACTTGCATCTCTCATACAGGATGCTCACTGAAATCTCTCCTTGCCTCTATGAAGCTTTGTAACTGCACAGAAGCAGTTTTTCCCTGTGGAAATGGATGTCAGGGCTCCTGTTGGTTTTAGGAGCAGTTCGGTTTAGAAATACGATTGCTAAACATACCCAGTTCACATCACTCTCCACATCTTTTCAGTCCCACACATTCTTTGGGTTAAA